GCAAATTTCACTCGGTAGTTTGTCTATTTTTTATATTTATTACCAACTTTGTTCGTATAACATTCTTTTTGGGTATTCATGACATTAGATCTGCAATTTCATGAACCGCCCGCGCGAATCAAACGAGAATAATAAATTTTACGAAGATAATCCTATTGAGGCATCAAAAAATAAGTCTGCGAACTTCAAAAAAAACTCACATGCTTGTCCGCAACTTAGCTGATCCGCATGACAACACCCTATAGCCGCGTCGCACTCGTATCCCACGCCACAATCACCGCATTCGCGTGCGCAGCGCAGCCCATAGGTACCTTCTGGGCATACTGTAAAAGGAAAATAAAATGATGAGAACAAAAATCAATGTTAAAAACACTTTCTGGGGATGAAGCAAAACTTACAAGCATGACAAAACTCTCCAGTGAATCCAGCGTGGCACTGACAAGCTCCTGTCACTCGATGACAACTTGCTGACGATGTGCCGCGACATTTGCACTTATTTATACAATCTGCTCCATAATAGCCATCTTCACAGGGTTTATTGCACCGATCGCCTTGCCAACCAGCTGGACAGGCGCATTCACCCGTATGTGGATCGCATTGTTTGAATTCTGATGCACAATGGCACTGTTTGGCGCAGCCCAGACCCCAGAATCCGGCCACACACACTAAATTATGTATTTTCGATGGGTTTTTTTTTACTAATTAGAGAAATAAGGAGAACTAGTTACGTCTATCGCAGAGCCGGCCTTCGTAGCCCGCCGGGCATGAGCAGGTACCATCCACATGATTGCACAAAGCCCCATTGGCACAAGCTGGGCACTTGTTTGTACAGTTGAAACCCCAAGTACCTTCAGGACATTCTAAAAAGAGAGATATTGCCTATGTTTATATGTGATTCAGTGATTCTTGAATTAAAAAAATCCTCAGAAAACAGAAAAGGCTGGGCAACAAAACTCTAACTGTCTTGCTCACGTGCAAACAATAATAGTTTGTCGTTACCATAAGAATTCTATACGAAAAATCTTCTCAAACATAAAATATTGTAAAAAATATAATTATACAACTTCAAAAGGTTCTATGCCGCCAATGGACAGCCATCCATTAACAAACGGTAAATACTTCCAGCACAATCGTGGCGAAGAAAAATTACAATCCAACAAACTTGGTATTCATTTATTGACACCTTTGAAAAGGTGGAAGAAAACTTG